TATGTATAGTTGTGGCAAGACCTGTGCTCTTGTAAGAGGTCTGGTGTTCAAATCTACTTTCAACATTTGTAGTCTTGGCTTCATGGTCTTAAGAGTGCTTTTTTTTTCCTTACCTTGGTAGTTTGTCGTGCTTTCTCTTGAATGTGTAAATGGTGTGCTCACTGATGTTTTCCATGATTGATCATGTGCAGTATGGTGTTAAGATATTTGTCATTACATCTTTCAAGGATACTTGTTACATTGAGATTCTGCCCAGTGAACAAAGGTCCAAGCGAGGTATGTTTGTCAAGGTCCCAAGAATTATACTTTTGAGAATTGTATTTCAAATGTATGCATGCATCCAAAAAATTGTACTTTGAGAATTGTAATTCAAATTGTATTTCAAAAGCAGTTATTTTCTTGAGCTTTTGGGCTGAGGTGCACTACAACTCAATTTACCCTGAAGGAGGCACGTCCAGTTTGTTTTCCATCACTGTCATTTGACTGATTTATTCTCCTCTTTTAAGAGTTTTGATTTTTAGTGGGATTTCTTTTTTCCTTCTTTTCCCCAGACATGCCAACCTCGGAAACGAAGAAGAAAAGGTGGTGGCACTTTGGAAACAAGTACTAGAGTTTGGCTTTGTGCACGTAATACAGCTGCTTATTCAACTCATGTTATTTCTAGGGGAGGATCTCGCAGAGCATGGCTTTAACTTCCCAGAGGAGATTTCACATAGCAGCAATTATTTCTGTTGTTAGATATAAAATGAGGGGAGCCGCCCATTGATAGACTTTCAAGTGTTATAATCTATATCGCATGAACATGACGCCGACAAAATCAAATTGTATTTATGGGCAATCTCTGCATGGCTTGCTGGCTTCCTGGATTGCCATTTCTCCATGCACGGATCCTGAGATAGACTCGCAAGTATTAACGCCTTTGGTTAATTCATACCCATATGTCATCTTGTATTTTGCAGTCAGCGTAAGAACATAGAAAATCTGCTGAATAATTCCTTTCAAATGAATAATATTTGCAACAAAGTAATAGCTGCTTACTGCTTGCTTGTTAATGATGAACAGTTGAGCAGCGCCCAATCAGAAAAGAATGTATGTTTTTTTTTCTCTCTGAATGATTATCACGGGGGAGTGTGTTTTATAACGGCCTGCATACAAATATTATCCGTTAAATATATCCATTTTATGTTTGCCGTTATTATTGCCATATATTTATTTACCCATGATAGAAATATTTCTCGCATGGAATCGGAGTTGATCCGTGGCTTGGAGAAGGCGAGGCCCATGAAGTTGTCTCTGTTGTTCAGTAATAATCCACAACGAGTGAATTTAACTCCTCCAGCCTTGTGATTCTTAGAGCATCTCCAACAGCTTCTCCATTTCTTACTTTTGGGGAATTTAGTTAGGTTTTTGGCCCAACAGATTCTCCATCTCATTCCCCAAAATAGGGATGAAGGAGAAAAAATGGGGAAGCTTCCCTAAATCTGCAGCATTCTCCAAATTTTTGGAGGAAAAAATGGATTCTTCAAAATGGGGAAGCTGTTGGAGTTGGTATAAAAGTTAGTTGGAGAATATGACTTTTGTTTTCCCATTTTGGAGAAAATTTTAAAGAAGCTGTTGGAGATGCTCTTACGCTAACGCGGTTGTTGCGTGAGTTAACTGCAACATGAACTACTTGAGTAAGGTCTTACTTGAGTCTGAAATCAATTATCTGCTGTGTTATTTCCAACAATCAACACATTAACTTGGTCACCACGAATCAACTCAAGAGCTTTAGCCAATCTGAGTACCGTTTAGATGCTAACAGGACTATGATTAAAGTTTAATCCGACTCTACATGAGCTTGATGAGTCCAGCAGGGGTCACGCTTGACTCGAGTCAACAACCCTACCATTTGGCGCAAGACGAAAAATAGCCCGACCAATAGGGGTGTTAACGGAGCGGATACGGCTCGGATATGGTATTTACTATATCCATATCCGTTTACCCATCTCGGATACGGATACAGATACAGATATACGTCGGTAAAAAAAAATTCATATCCATATCCGCCAAAATCGGATACAGTTACGGATATATAAACGGATATGCATGCGGATACAAAAAGGATATGAGAAAACTAGATAGTATTCAGAAAAATATAGTCATGTGATGCAAAGAGAGTTCGTTAATATGTTCATTATGATTGAAAAACTAAGATTAGACATCTTGATCATCAAAATTAACCACAAATCCATAATCTAAGAATCGAAACTATCGTAAGATTATGATCAATATGTATTCGGATATTTTCGGATATGAATACATATATTTCACTATAAAATCATATCCGTAACCATATCCTATCGGTTATAGATTTGAGTAACCATATTCGTATCCTAACGGATACGGTTATGGATATTTCCTCGGATACGGATACGGTTTGGCACCCCTAAGGACCAACATCCAAACCCTAACCGGGCCGAATTCTCGTTTCTCAAATCAATCAAAAGGAGACTGTTCGAGATTAGGGAAACTTCTGGAAACTCCGCCCTCGCTCCTTCCTCCGTTACAAAAACCCTCCTAAAATACCCGAGCCTCCCCTTATCCTCAACAAAATCTCATTATCTTCCTCCCGATATAAAAAAAAAAGCCCCATCCCTTCCGAGAAATGCGCGGCCCACCCAACGCGATCTCCACCGCCTCCATCCTCGCCTCCCCTCGTCAGGTCTCTCGATTTCCCCCTGTTCTCCTTCTTCTCCTTGAACTCTTGAACGGTTTTTGTTTAGGTAATAACTCGATGATGATAATTTTGTGATCGGGCAGGGGGCTTTGAGGAAGAACAGCAGACAGAAGCCTGGCAGTGCTAATTTCAGGAGGATGGTGGTTAGGGCGTCGGCGAAGGAGATAAAGTTCGATCAGGCCTCCAGGTCTGCTCTCCAAGCCGGCGTTGACAAGCTCGCCGATGCCGTCGGGGTCACTCTCGGGCCCAGAGGTATACCGTTTTTATCTTCAAAGCCCTTAGGGTTTTAAGTGAAGTCTAATTTTTTAGGCCGTGATGGTCGATTGCTGGCGAGAAGGTCGACATTTGGGAGAAATGGGGTAGATTGCCAAACATCCATGTATCAGTTTTGATAAAGATGGGCTTTGGAACGGAGTGGAGAAAAACCTGGTGGATTCTTTATGGCAATTTATGAATATATGATTTATTTTCGAAAAAAAATTAGGGAAATCAAAGAATAGGAAACATATTTCCTATAATAATTGTTTTGAGGTTGTTTGGTTGGCTTAAAAAAGAAGAAAACTATAGAATAGGAGATGAGATGAGATGAGTTGTCACCTTATTATTGGATGATGTGAGTGATTTTTTAAAAAAACTTGTTTTGAGGTTGTTTGGTTGGTTAAAAAAAATAAGGAAATGAATTGGAGGTATATTATTGGATGATGTTTTGAGGTTGTTTGTGTTTGGTTCATTTTTAAAAATAAGAAAATAGATGAGATGAGATGAGTTGGATGTATATTATTGGATGATGTGATACATACTTAAGGAAATCAATTTCTTGTTTTTTTGAGGAAATGGATGGAAAGGAAGGTTTAATGAGATGAGATGAGTTGTCACAATATTATTGGATGATGTGTGTGATTTTTAAAAATGAGATAATATGAGATGTGATGAGTTGGATGATGTGACACATTTCTTGTGTTTGGTTTATTTTTAAAGGTAAGAAATAAGATGAAATGAGATGAGTTGGAGGATAAAAATATTATTTTATTGGATGTTGTGGGTGAGTTTTAGGGATGAAAATGGATAAAAATATTATTTTATTGGTTTCCTTGTACCGATTTCATTTTCTTGGTTTTTAGGAAGCCAACCAAACGGCCCCTTAGGGGAAAAGATTGAAATCTTTTGAGATGAAGTCAATTGGGGAGTAAACCATTCAAAATGGTACTTGTTTGTGTATAGAAAGGTGTTTCCTCCTAGTTTATCTTCTAGGATGGCGGCCATGTTTTCTTTTGTGGTGTGCAAATAAAGTGATGCATTGGTGGCAAGAAGCTTCGTTTTATTCTCATCGTCCAAAGGAGAGCTCTTTTTTCAGTGCTGGTGTTTTATCTAGATGATCACTATTTGAAATGAAATTGATAGTTGTTGAGCCAACCCTTTTTGTGGCCTACTTTCACGTCACTGTGTACTTAGATATTTTAGCCTTCCTGAATTTAGAAGGGGTATTGTAGATAGAATGCCGTCTAGTATGAAAGCTAGCTAACATCTTGGACAATGTGATTTATTTTTAACTTTATAAGGACTGTGTTGTGGAGATAGGCGAAATGACATGTATTGAATAGGGTCACCTAACTCATTTTCATTATCTCTCATGCCATCAAAATCTGTGGTGCTTGCTGGGACGGTATGTGTTCCTTGACATAGATCAGAAAGCCTACAAAATCTCGGTTTCTCTTTTGAGATGCGAGTTCGTTATATTGAACTACTTCAGCCTTGGACATCTTCCAGACTGCTGAAGCATATGATAGAGGGCAAATTGAGGACATCAATGACGAGTTTTTGTTTAGATCTTGAACTGTTTTCAAAGTTGTTTTTTTTCTTCAATTTATATGACACACTTATGGATTAATATGTGAAATAGCTGACCGAGAAACTTGAGGGCTCAACCAACTTAATAGAGGAAACCTAATTTTCTATGAGTATCCTGATTCTTGCAATCATAACACCTACAATAATAGTGAGAAAATTTTGGTTGGCTCTCTAATTTCATCGATCAGCAAAATTCTTTCCAGACTTTGGCTTTGTGAATGATTGCCTGGATGTGAAGATATTTTTGTTTGATTGATGCACCTAGCTGTTGCTCAAAAAGTTTTCTATGTACTTTCTGAGAAGTACTATAGACTATTGTTTCATGGTTGGCTACAACAATTGATTCATTGAATTATAAATTGAAACTCATGCTGGTGTCTATCAACTTTTGAAGGGAGGAATGTTGTCTTGGATGAGTTTGGGAACCCTAAAGTGGTGAATGATGGTGTCACTATTGCTCGGGCTATTGAACTTGCTGACCCTATGGAGAACGCGGGTGCTGCTTTGATAAGAGAGGTCGGCTGTTGCTTTGCAAATCATTACATTATTATGTTCCTTGGGTATTAGATTGGATATGTTTCTACTGGTGATTTAGTCACTGTAGCAATTATGCTCAGATTTCAGCAGCTGATGATCTTTTTCTTATATTTGTTAAAGGTTGCTAGTAAGACCAATGATTCTGCTGGTGATGGCACTACTACTGCATCAGTTCTTGCCCGTGAAATTATCAAGCTGGGACTCCTAAATGTTACCTCTGGTGCGAACCCTGTTAACATAAAAAAGGGGATTGATAAAACTGTTCAGGGCCTAGTGGAAGAGCTTGAAAAGAAAGCACGACCTGTGAAGGGTCGTGGTGATATCAAAGGTATTTTATTACATTTTGCAAGTTCATTTCACTTAAACCGTCTGTATCTTTAGTAATAATGATTTTTCTTTCATGTCTTTTTAAATTCTTATCAGTAGCTTACAATAATACTTAAATATAGTAATACTTAACTATCCTTTCCTTTTTGTAGCTATTGCTACTATCTCAGCTGGTAATGATGAGTTTGTGGGTGAGATGATCGCCGATGCTATTGATAAAGTTGGTCCTGATGGTGTTTTGTCTATTGAGTCGTCATCATCATTTGAGACAACTGTTGATGTTGAGGAGGGAATGGAGGTTTGTGCCATTTAAAACATGGATCTACTCACGTTAATACCCCATTGTTTGATGCTATGAATATATAACGATTTACTCTCTCTTTGGGAACTCTTTGCAGATTGACCGAGGTTATATCTCCCCTCAATTTGTTACCAACCCTGAAAAGTTGGTTGTCGAATTTGAAAATGCCAAAGTTCTCGTGACTGATCAGAAGATTTCATCAATAAAGGAAATTATTCCTTTGCTGGAAAAGACCACACAGTTGCGAGCTCCGCTGTTAATTATTGCCGAGGATGTGACTGGGGAGGCATTGGCCACCCTTGTTGTCAACAAATTGCGAGGCATTCTTAATGTTGCTGCAATTAAGGCGCCTGGTTTTGGTGAGAGAAGAAAGGCTCTTCTCCAAGATATTGCTATCGTGACAGGTAAAGTTTTATTAGTGCAATTTCTAAACTGATTTCATGCAGAGAAATGTTTCTAAACTGGTTAGCAAATTTCACATATCCATTGTACCATAATTTGTTTAACTTGCCGGTTTTCATTATATTTCTGAGTTCTTAGTAGGTTATTTGTTCTGCTTATTTTTGTTTTCCAAATTGTATATAGACTTTATTTGAAGCTCTCACCTTGCGTCCTTTTCTTGATCTCAACAATCTTGGAACTCTCACCTTGTACCCTTTTCTTGATCTCACGTTTTTGTACTACTATTCAATGTTCAAATTTACTATTTGTTCAATTTATGTCGCAATATGTGCATGGTTTCTAGCTTGCATCTAATGATGTATTATTCATTACGTCCAACACCACTTTTACCCCACATATTGGGGAAGTGCCGTTTTTCACTATGATTATGCAATCATAATGTCATGTTATTGAACTCCAAGGTTTCTCAATTCCTAAAAAGTGATCTGCTTGAAAATTGATTTAACTATTCCCAATATTTTCATTTTTTTCCAACAAAGTCGAAGGAGAAGGGACAGTTTGATGAGATTCGTTTGGAGTGTGGAAGGTGGGCAATTGATGGTTCAATTCATGTTAAAAACTGTGCATTGTTGGAAGATTACATTGATGGAAGATTACACTTAATAAACTAATAAAGTATAGCCTGCTTTAGAAGGAATTGAAAAACTGTATGCATTGTTGGAGTGTGGAAGGTGGGCAATAGATGGTTCAATTCATGTTAAAAACTGTATGCATTGTTGGAAGATTACATTGTTGGAAGATTACACTTAATAAACTAATAAAGTAGAGCCTTCTTTAGAAGGAAATGAAAAACTGGGAACTGGAAAGCTATAGGAGTTGAGTATCTGAAGAGTAATTGAGCAACCTTGGTAGGTATTTGTATTGAAGTCTGTAAGTGTGAGGGGAGTGTGGATTAATTATGGAGTAGACCAACCTTTGTAACTGATACTAGTAAGAATGAAAAGGGACATTTTAATCTATGAAACAGAACGACTGGCAAGAGTAACTGAACAATCTAAAAGAGTGATGGCTGTTAGAAGATATTAATTTTGTTTTTATACTAGAAACAACTATCTACATGGATGATTTATGGAAAGATATATAGGGTTGGTGACATGAAAATCCATGAATAATTTGCTAATCAAATATCCATATGCATTTTCTAATCTTAGGAACGTTATGATATGTCCATATCATCTAAGTTCTCATTTTTATATTGACTAAAAATGGTTGTAGATTTTCGTCATCATTTAATATCCTTATTGTACCATATCTGCTAAGTGTGATAGGATATCATGTTTCCAGTCCTTGAACAATGGGATATGCGTAAGCAAACACTAGACTAGTGAGGCTAAAAGGTAAATGCCAATTTAACAGAAGAGATAGCTGGAGTGTTTAAGCATTCATGTAGAAGACTGCTAAGATTTGTGGTAAATGGCTTCTTAGTTCTGTTGTTGCTGCTGCTGCAACATATTGGTTGCTAAACTTTTAGTGTCTTAACTTTTCAAATCTTGGCTAAATGTGTTGTACCCACGTAGATTGGCTTGATCATTGTTAAAAATAGAATATCGTTCTCATTCATTCATAAAAAACCTCAACCACTCCTCTTTATAGGGATACAATAGCAAAGGTTATTTTTTTGTGTAGGCAATATGGGACTAAGCTCAATTGCCTGATCATAATTATTCTTATAATTATATCTCTAATACTCTCAAATCTCAATCAACATAGCTTTTAACTTTTCAAGTCTTGGTTAATGTACACTAGCTTAGATTGGCTTGATCATCGTTAAACAATAGAATATCGTAGATTCTCATTCATTAAATAAAAAAATACAATCGCTCCTTTCATAGGGATACAATAGCAAAGGTTTTTTGTGTAGATAACATGAGACTAAACTCAATTGCCTAATCACAATTATTCTCATTGGGAGAATTTTTTGAAATAGGTATTTTTTGCTAAATATTTAGTAAAATCGACTATTTTGCTAAATATTTAACAAAATCGACTATTTTGCTAAATATTTAGCAAAATCAACCTCTTTTTGACCAGCTCATCATGACCGGCTGAAAAGAAGTTGATTTTACAAAGTATGGATTTCAAAAAACACGAGACTACTAGTCCCGTGTGTTTAGTGATCGCTAATTGCGGCCTAAATAAGACTCGGAAAATCCACAAGACTAGTAGTCTCATGGGTTCATTTGTCACTTGAGCTGATAACCTCTGCCTTCGACACCTCCTTGTCCTTCCCTATCCAAGCTGAACCATTACAGGAGCTGGTTGCGGAAGTAGACTTACCGGAGGTAGGCTTACGTGAATCCCTTCCACAATGATAGCCAAGCCCCTAGGTTTCCGGCCTCGGCTAGACCAGGGAGGGGGTTGAATAGGATAATGGATTTGGAGCACCGGCCGACATTGAACCCTCAAATCGCCGCTGTCGTCGCCAGCCTTGGCTCATCAGCCCAAGCGCCGTAGTTGCCAGCTGCTCGAGACTCATCAGCCCGAGCGTCGTAGTCGCCAGGCGCTCGCTCGTACGTAGTGCCCTCGTGCTACCGCCAGTCGACAACGGGCACCGCGGGGCGACCCCCATCTCACTCTTTGGTACGGAACGGCCCAACAACACACATCTGCCGATTCGCCAAACATCACCGCTAGGACTTGTCCGTCGGGGGGCATATCTATGAACCGCTCCCTTGCCTTCGCCAGCCTCGAACGTGGGCTTGGGTGAAAGTCCGTCGGCATCTCTCGACTGGTCGAGACCCCTCACCCTCGTCGCCGCTGTATGTCTGCTCGGCAGTCGTACTGTCTGCTGCAGCTCCTACGCCGTACACAGCTCGGGCCGTGGATTCCTTGGTCCATACGCTGCGGGGCGGGGCTCAGGCGTTTGTGGCGATGTCTGAACCGAAGGGACAGGGCGAAGGGGGAGGAAGTTAGGAATAAAGAGGGGCCAGCATAGGGAGCTATATGGAAATGGAGGATGGAGAGAGCAGTAGGCGGGGGAGGGGGGGCGAGAGAGACCAAGGCGATAGCATGCCGGTCGAGGCGTTAGCGAGGAACAGGGAAGGAGGGAGGGTGACCTCTAGATTGGGGAGGGGGTTGAATAGGGTAATTCATAGAGGAGGAGAAGAAGGAGATGGTGGTGATGATGGAGGGACAGTGGGGGGTTTTCTGTTACTGTGCAGAAAATAACGGGACTATTAGTCCCATGGGTTTTCTGACTCTTGTTTAGTTAGTGATTAGCGACCATTCAACACACGGGACTAATAGTCCTGTTTGTTTTGAAATTCATATTTTGCAAAATCGATCTTTTTTTTGCCAGTTTTGGTGAGCTGGCAAAAAAGAGGTTGATTTTGCTAAATATTTAGCAAAACAGTCGTTTTTGCTAGATATTTATCAAATTGGGTCTCTTTCAAAAATTCTCTTTCTCATAATCACATTTCTAATATCTCTGAAATCTCAATCACTATGTCTCTAACATATAGTCCTAATATATTTTGCTTGATATTACTCATCTCCTTAATTATTTCTAACTCGTCTCAACCTAGCTCATGTATAACATACATGTCTAGCTTGTTATAGATTAAACACGCTTACTCCGAACTTTGACAAGATTCAAAGGCTTGAAATCCTTTGCATGTGACATTTTTTCTTAGCAGTAGGTCTTTAACTATCTTCCACTTGAATATCCACCATCACGAGATTACCTCTACTAAACAATCATCAGATGCAACATCTTGATCCTCTTCAGTGACCACCAAACCTACCAAGTAAGCGATTCTCTTTTGGAATCAACCAAGCAAATGATCATTTCCAAGGATCCACCAAACAAATGATCATTACTAGTGACCAACTAAATGATCTTCTTGACGGGTCAATCAAACAAACAATCCTCTCCGTGGATCAACCAAACAAATATTCCTCACCACGGATCAATCGAACAAACGACCATTTCTATGGATCAACCCACAAACAATCCACTCCACGGATCAAATAAATAACCCTCTTCACGAATCAAATAAACAAATATTTCGGTCCATGGATCCACCAAACAAACTAAACGAACAAACTAAACATATACGAACAATCTAACAAAACAATCCTTATTGAACCATTCTCCAAACGACCTTCATTTAACTCCACTACATGGATGCACCAAACAAACCTACAGAACAAATTGACCATATCCAAACAAAGCTAACAAAACAACCTTTACTGAACTGGTCTCCAAATGATCTTCACCAAACTGATCTTCAAAGAACAATCTTCACCAAAGCAAACTTAAACTACACTTCCAAGCAAATCCGAACTTCGAGCAACCTTACTGCGACTCAAGAAAAGTCTCATCCTTGACCTGATCTCCTCTTGAGACTGATGATGATGCAGAATTCATATGAATTGATCTTGATGCCTTGTTGTTCAACGTCGGACTTGAATACTTGATATGTCCATACTCCTTGCGATAGTGACACATCATCTCCTCCTGATTTTTATATCTATTATATCTAGAACCACGACCTCCAAAGCGACCATTGCCACGAGTATTCCTAGATCTTCCTCCACGAACACTATAATAATCATTGTTGTCTCTCTGTTGTGCAGCCAATACTGATTTCTCCTCTGCTTCCTTCTGAGGTGATTTAGGAAAAATATGATGTAGAAGTATTCTGACCAAGTATTCCAAATAAAAGATATGAGCAAATCTTTCTAGAACAAAGATATGAGCATATAATTACTAGAGGACAGCTTCCTATCGCAGATGTTTCTGGCCAAGAATTTTAGAACAAAGATGCAAGCAGCTTTCTTGCTGCCCTCCAACCAAAAAACAAATGCCAGCACCACCCTAGCTCCCTTACAAACCGAACCAAACTCCTAGCACCATCCTACCATTATCAAACAACCAAAACAACTACTAGAGAACAATTCCAAACTCCAACATTGACGACGCCAACCAAAAACATTTAACACTACTAACTTCAAAACTAATTCATCAAAGTTAAAGACTAATTCATCAAAGTTAAAGACAATCGAAGAATCATACCAAATCCACCCTATAGCAAGAGAAATGAGACGACAGTGACTCGACGACGGTAGTAGTCGGGGGGCGGCAGTGACCTGATGAGGCGGTGGGCCTATGGCAGCTTGAGGAGGTGCTAGCTGCCTGAAGGAAAGACAACTTAAGGGGAGGAAGGTAAGAGGGTTTAGGATTTGAGGGGTGGAGGGGCTAGGGTTTGAGGAATAGGCTATTAAAACTTTATTTTGTGAATCATGACTCTCATATTATGTTAGACAATAGTATATCGAAGATTCTCATTCATTCATCAAAAACTACAACTACTCCCCATTATATAGGGATACAATAACAAAGGTTTTTGTGTAGGCAATAGCAAAGGTTTTTGTGTGTAGGCAAGGTGGGGCTAAATTCAATTGCTCAATCATAATTATTCTCCTAATCAAATTCCTAATATCTCTCAAATCTCAATCACCATATCTCTAACATATACTTCTAATATATTTTGCAATATCACTTATCTCCTTAATTACTTCTAACATCATGAAATTACTGGTCTGATGCAAGTGATTTTTATGTTATACTGTTGCAAGCCATTTAGTTGGTTTGATGTTCCGTGCATCAAAAATAACTTGTGCTGGCAAATTCTTTTTCTGATAGCCAAATTCCTGAGCAGCACTTCTTTTTTTATTATACGCAGGAGCTGAATTCCAAGCTAAAGATCTAGGTTTGCTGATAGAAAATGCGTCAGTGGAGCAGCTTGGAACAGCAAGAAAAATCACCATCGCTCAGACCTCGACGACCATCATAGCAGATGCAGCAACCAAGGATGAGATTCAGGCCAGAATTGCTCAAATTAAGAAAGAGCTTGCAGAGACTGACTCTGTTTATGATTCTGAGAAGCTTGCAGAGAGAATTGCCAAGCTTTCTGGTGGTGTGGCAGTCATAAAGGTTGGTGCTGCAACTGAGACAGAACTGGAGGACCGCAAGCTGCGCATTGAAGATGCTAAGAATGCAACTTTTGCAGCTATAGAAGAAGGCATTGTACCTGGTGGTGGCGCTGCCTATGTACACCTCTCTGCTTGTGTTGCTGCTATAAAGGACAAGCTTGATGATGCTGATGAGCGTCTTGGTGCTGACATTATCCAAAAGGTAAATTAATAGTTTAAAAATAGGTTATTTTTCTGCAAAAGCCATAGGTGAAGCTTCAATTCCTGTCTTTAAAAACCTTAGAGCTAGCACATAGTTGGCAGATTTTATCTTGCAGTCTGAAGAATTCCATGTCAAGGGGTAGATTGAGAAGTATTATTTGGTTGAATACCTGACTCACCAGTTGAGTGCTATGTGCCAGAAGGATTATTTTAATAGTTCGGTCTGAACTCTGACCTTCTTAAAGTTACCTGTAAATGTGGATGAGTAATCAATCTTGTTATATAGATCGATGTGTAAGTAGAATAGGATTGGTCATGAGTAGTGCTAGCAAAAGATTAGGTATGTTAGTTTTTGTTTTGAATCTGGAAAAATAATAATAACTATGGACGCTTGAATGCGCTCATGATGTCCCTCTTTATTTAGTTGTCACTTGAAGGCACCTCTTTTTTATGATAGATTATGTAAGATTCTGAATTTGCCAAAGGTGATTATGGACGCTTGAATGCACTTTTTCATTTCCCGTACCTTTGTACTTACATTAGATATTTTATTGATTTTGATATATTACACAACAGCAAGAACAATGGGAAAGCCTTTCGTCAAATGTTTGGGCTTAGGTAGGTAAACCCTTGTCTTCATTTAGCTCTGTAGGGTTTGTTAAAGTAACTATATATCACATTTTCCACTGACTGCTTCCGTCCATTTGTTTCATTTTCTGCCTTTAGGACTCGATGCATGTCATATCACCTCTTGCTGCATGTGCACTTGTTTGGATTCTTTGCACATGCCTGTACCATCTCAACACGTACCCCTTTATTTGGTTGTTAATTAATCCTCTGATGTCCTTTCGATTGATTCACTTGAATCACTTCTAAATCTTTCTTTCATGGGAGATTTTCTTTTTCAGATTATTGAGTTATGCGGCATGAATTGTTGTTTGTTGGCCATGTAGGTTTAATTAGAGGACATAAGTACATATTGAGACGGAATATGAAGCTGGAATCTGCGTCGATTTTGATTTTTCATTATCCGTGTGTATATTCATTGAACTGTTATAAACTGGACAGGCACTGGTTTCACCTGCATCCTTGATTGCTCGCAATGCGGGAGTCGAAGGAGAGGTGGTCGTCGAAAAAGTCAAGGACAGCGAGTGGGAAGTTGGGTACAACGCGATGAGCGACAAGTATGAGAACCTCGTCGAAGCTGGTGTCATCGATCCTGCAAAGGTCACAAGGTGTGCACTTCAGAATGCTGCATCAGTGGCTGGAATGGTTCTAACTACGCAAGCTATCGTTGTAGAGAAGCCCAAGCCAAAGGCTCCGGTGGCAGAACCAGCACCAGGGCAGCTTGCCATTTAAGTGTTTATTAAATCTTTTGTGATTGCTGCCGTAGTTTTGAAATTGATAGGTTGGATACGGTTAAAGTTAGAGAGACTTCTGAAGTAATTGTAGCTCCAAATTTGTGAGTGAGATGACTGAAAGCGGCCAATCTTAGCAGCTTCTTGTTTTAAAATGTGGTCACTGTTTTCTACTGTTAAAGGTTACGTGGATTCGGACTGGTAACTGTTATTATGTTTGGTTGATTATAGATAAGACTTTGTACTATCGCCCCGATTGTGGATAGACCCTCTATAGTTCAATTGTTGCAGCTAGGCTCCTTGATTGATTTTTTTTTTCTTTTACGCTCAGAGGAAGAGAGAATTGTCTTTGTTTTGCAAAATAGAGTTCTCGAGGATAAAAAGGAAAAAAAAAAATCACTCAGGCGGTCTACCTTCAACTAACCCTGTTAGTTTCACCCTGTTGGTTTCGTGTAAATTTACGTTTTCGGTGGCCTTTTTCACTGCGCGTTCTCATGAGAGGCCTTGAATCTGTCCATGCTTCCTTCTACTCTATTTTGTTGCCGTGTGAAATTGGCTTCAACTCTTCATGAAATTCTTCTCATGAAAGAATTTCACGCTGCAGTTGTTGTGACCGTCACTCCCTGTTGGTTCTATTCTCTAACGAGTCTTGATCAACTCTTACAACTTTGTGGTCTAGATTTTGTCTATTTGTTCAGCTTGGCGTCGTCATCGGGTTGAAATTTTCGTTACAGGCCCTTTGGTTAGTAAATAAGAACAAAGGATTATACACGAAGGAGATATTTTGGAGTTGAATATATGAAGTTCTAGATGTTCAAATGTATCACATATATTCCTTCATGCAATATTTCCCCCCCATGCAATTCGACTTTCGTGCCTACACGAACACATTTTCAGACCTCTTTCTCAATGCCCTTTGGCTTCTCCAACGGCTTGTAAAAGTCAATAAATCTCTAACTTGTCGAATGGAGTAGGAAAATGTTTCACCATTTTACTCAAGAGAATCCAGCACGAGACTTCGAACCGAAGACTTCGCATCTTGTTCTTTCTGCTTTTTGCTCATTCAAAGTCCTGGAATAATGACTATCTTCTTATGTGACATTTGAATACTTAAAAAAAAAAAAAAAAATGAAGGTGATATATTTGTGTAAAACGTTATCAAGCGAGAATAGTAGCCGTGTGTGTGGACCCGAACTTGTGCCGAAAATGTTAACAAATTTTATGAGCTTAAATGTGAGAAATAGAATATATTTTACACTCGTGTCCCGTCCTTCACAACAAAGAAAATAATACGAATCTCGCTACCAATATTAAATTATACATGTGTATGTATGTATGCCTTAACTAGAATCTATTGATTCGCATCAAACACAGGATTAAATAATTTTTATGTTATTGGACCCTCCGGGTACCGGATATCTAAAGGACTCGGCGCGTTTAGAAAAGCATTAAAAGAAATATTAAAATTGAAGAGCCATTGAGGGATGGTCATGGTGGTTACTAAAGCGTGACTGTTTGGTTTGTTGTATAATGACAAAGAATACGATCCAACAGGATGGCATAAGTTCATAAACATATGAGTCCAGTAGGGCATCTTAAAATATTAGCAAATTAGGACCCATTACAAAATCTTTATGTCCCTTCTTGGAAGCGATCATTTCTCTTTTTGGTCTTTAGCATTATATACTCCAAATCTATCACATCTGCAACAAAACTTAACCTTAAAATTTAAATATTTACTAATTTACCTCTAGGGTGCTTCTACAGGGACCCCAAATAGAGGACCCAAGGGGGGACATGTGGATGATGCACTGCTCATGAATAATGCATCATCCAACCGGAGGGGGACAACTCACCTGTCCCCCCGCTTGGGTCCCCTATTTGGGGTCATCGGGGTCTTAATTTTTACCTCTATTCATTTGATATTTAGTCAAAATACTTTTTCAATCAACACATTCAATTTTAGAAGTGCAAAGCAGTAAAATGACAAAAATACCCCATCTCTCTCCCAAAAAAAAAGTTTTATGTCTAATATCCCTCAAATGTACCATATTTATAGATTTATTATCTCCCAAATCAGCATATTTGCTAATTCACACCTATGACTTTGGCGGTGTAAAATGAGAAGGAATACGGAAATCCAATTGTAAAAGAATCTAGGGGATAGCAAATGTATACAGATGAAAATAAAATATATTTAGATGTTTTTAGGCAAAAACCCTGTAGAACGTAATAATTCTCAATATAAGAGTAATTACAAATTTGTCCCTAACCGCGGAAGACCGCGTCACTTACGAAACTGTTAAACCGGTAAACACGGTCTTCTCCTTCCTTAAAACCTAGCCTCCCTTTCGCTACAACTTCCGAACACCAAACTCCCTAAAAACCAATCAAAACCCGCCACGTGCCACCTCGATCTCTGAACCCCCTCTCCCCAACAGGACCCGACTGCTACTTTTATAAGAAGCAGCGGCGACAGATGGAGCTTGGATCGTGGCGATGCGTGGAAATCGTTGCAGGAGAATGAGGAGTTCGTGTTGGAGGAAGCAGCTCTTGAAAATGGCGGATCCAACAAAAACCCTAATCTGGCTCCGATCTCTTTAGGTTCGCTCCTTGGACCTGCATTGCCCTCTCAATTCTTCTTCTGGCTCTAAATTTCGGTAAATTTGATCGATTCCTGACTTTCTAGGGTTTGGAGATTGGCGAAGGCGATGGCGGAGGTGCCTAAGATTCTCTACATCGTGGTCGTGGACGGCGACGGAGGTGGAGGTGGCGAGGAGAGGAAGGAGAGGGCGTCGTTTCGGTACACGCGATCGCTGTTGCAGAGCACGCTTCAGCTCATGGGATGCAAAGCTCGCCATGCTTTTAAGGTTATTTTTCTTTAATCCTTTGGTTGGGAATCGCATCTTTTGTTTTTGCGTGTTTTGATGCGCAGAGTAGAGATTGTGAATTTTGAAAAATAAATAAATAAATAAATAAAATGGCATTTTGGATAGGGGTGATTGAATGATTGTTGATGAAATTGTTGTTCTTGATGTGGTTGAATGCAATCCCTAATAATGGAAGAAATTCACAGCATAGTGCATTCATTGCAATTGGCTAGCTGTTTTCTTTTTTTAAAACAAAAAAACTAGACTGAAGAAGATACCAGGAGGAGTGCCTGATGCTTAGTGAACTTGTGGCTTGATCAGTTGCCTTCTATGAAGAAT